AAGTGAAAATTGGGAATGAAGTACAAGAGCGATTGGCTCTAGTGCAAGTGGGAGATTGTTAGGGATATAGTAGATATGCCCTAGATCCAATCTCATATTTGATGATTTGAACATATTTTTGTGAACGTTATTCGATATAAAAATATATGGCATTCTTTTATCATAGTTATTATTAATTGTTTGATTAATTTGATAAGGTCCTTGATTAAATTTTGAGACTTGTCATTGTGATAGAGATCATGATAATGAGAGCAAAGTCTCTTACAACTTAATCTAAATTTGTTCTTGATTGTAGGATTATTAATTTGGACATTAGTAATCCGGTTAGATTAATATTTATCTGATCATCTTTATGGAATAAAGATTAGTTGATCTCATTAACTAAATCACATAGATAGATGATGCATATAGAGATATGATCATTGAACCGACTCATTGCATACTTCCTAATGGTTAGAATTACCATAAACTGTCAATAAGATATTCTCTTGAAGAATGTGATGCAAGAATTTCCTTTGACCTAAGATTGTCACAGTAATTGACAAGTTATTTGTTGTGCTTTAATACTAGACACCTACGGCCCTAGGGCGATTGAAAGGATAGTGGGTACAATTGAATACTTGTAGAATTAGTGATTGATCAAGATGGAATCTGTCAACTCTTGGTAATGAGTTTAAGCTCCATATTATTATGAATTATAAATGACCAAATTAAGACCTTGGCCAGGGCAATTGAATGAAAGAAGAAAAGAGTTTCTTAGGTCATTCAATGGTCGATTATATTAGACATGAACACATAGTTGGTCGCCTATTAGGATTTGACAGTTGAACCATATCCTAGGGTGATCCAGGGCTATAAAGACAAAAGAAATTACTACATTATTCTTCTACTGGTTCTTGAGAGTAAATTGTATACTTCATGCTATCCGGTCGTTAAGGAGTGTTGCTAGACGCCACCCTTGATTAGTATATTGATGTGATCAATTTACTACCTACTTAGTATTGAACCTATAGGATCGCACACTAACAAGTGTTCTGATCTTTGCTAAAGGATTAATTGCTTTAGTCTTTGATAATTAAATTAAAGAATTTAATTAGTCAAATAAATAAATTATTAGTCCAAATCAAATATTATTATATTCTTTGCTAGCACAGAGGATATAATTAATGTTGTGAACAAATTGAAGTTTTCTATTTGGAATAGAAAAATAAATTATATCTCTTAGTTGAAATATATATATGATATATAATTAATATTTCATATCAGAATGTATATGAAATATGAATAAATTGTTAATAAAAAGTTGATGGAAACTTATTTGTGAAATCCAATGTGAAATTGGATTCACGTATTAAAGTTCATAAAGGAATAGCTGCCGCCGATGTGCATGTGATCCCATTAGGAATGGGATAAAGAATTTCCAATGAAAACCTTTTATGAAGTCTATTTTTGGAACTAGATTTATAGCCTAAGGTAATTGACTACCTTAACCAAAAGGAAAAGGTTTAGGTGATGTTATAAAAGAGGTAGTGGAAAAGTGCCGTAGGTGGTCTAGGAAAAATACACTTTGTGAAAGTGTGATTAAAAGGAGTTCTTTGAAGAAACTAAAAACTAGGAGATATATTCTTGACAAGAAAGCATTATTTGCTGGAGTTTTGAGAAAAATTTCAGCACAAGTTTTTCGTTCAATTTGTTCGCGGGTTTCATTGATCAAAGAGTTGATAGCAAGGATCAGTCTCGGTGTGGACACGCATAGAGTCTTCGCACTATCGAAGAATTTGAAATAAGACTTTTTCACCAGGTACGTCTTAGATCTGATCTATTGACATGTAAATAAATTTTAAACACGAAAAGATCTGCCTAGGATTGTTATTGTCTTCCGCTGCGTGTTACGAACACCTATACACAATCCTTCAGTAACAAGTAAGGTGAATGGAAACAATAAGATATTTCGTTGTCACTCTTAATTTTTTGATCCTAATAAGTAAGTCTTAGAAAATAGCCTTCACCAGAATTTTGGAAAGTGTTCTTAGCTATCGCTAGAATTTTTTTATATGGTGATCATCAGGATTTGCTACAAAAACATTGCAATCGCAAACTATTTTCATATAGTGGTCATCAAGATTTACAACAAAACATGATAATTGTCAGAAATTTTCATATGGTCATCACCAGGATTTGCAAAGGCAATTGCTAGAAATTTTCATATAGTGATCACACGGATTCGACACAAATATGGCAATCATCAAAATTATTTATATGAAAATATTCTGACAGTGGCTTCAAAATTCTGATAACAAGGCTATTTTACTGAAGTTTTCTTAATGGGGCCAAAATATAAACCTTGTTCTAGAAAAAAAAATCCATCCGACATAATTTTCATCACAACTAAACGTCTTGGGTCCAACCCAATACCACAGTTAGGGATGACAAGCGGTGCAGGTGCGATGCGTGTTCTGTCTTAACCCGCAAAATTTTAACCCACCCCGCCCTACCCCGCATAGCATTTGCACTCGCGTTCATCCACCCCATACCTACGCCCCATCCACCCGCCCAACTTAAGTTTTTTTTAATTGAATTTTGTTAGATTTTGGACCAAGTCTCTTCCCCAAGAAATACGATTGACACAAAACAATATTCTTTTGAGTTCTGATACAGTTGGAAATGAAATTAAGTGCAAAATACCCAGGATTTTGGACTCTTATGCATTAAACTATAGGAGAGATGATAAGATGATCTAACTACTAATAAATCAATAAAAAATTCAAACATTTTGGATAATTGAATTGGAAGGACAGAACAAATTTTAATTCCATTAACATAAATTTGTAGTATTAATACTATATTGAAGTATGGACTTCCATATGTACTGCAACAACAACAACAAACCTAGTTTGATCCCATAAATGGAATCTAGGGAGGGTAGTGTGTACGCAGACTTTACCCTTACCTCATAGAGATAGAGATGTTGTTTCTGATAGACCCTCGGCTCAAGTAACAGTGAAGATAAAGCAACCAAGTAGCATAGAATATTAACAACAATGTAACATGGTAACGAGCGTGAATGCCACAACATGCATAATAAAAAACCATAAATAGAAAATTACAAAAATAGTCCTGGTACTAATGGTCGGCCTAGGAGGAATACACTACTATCTGTCAACTTACAACCCTATACTTTCCTATCGTGGGTCATATCCTCTGTAAGCTGAAGCAATGACATGACCTGCCTAATTACCTCTTCCCAAAACTTCTTAGGCCTACCCCTTCCCTTCCTTAAACCCGCCATGGATAACCTCTCACACCTCATGATCGGATCATCTATGTTTCTCCTCTTCACATGCCCGAACCATCTCAACCTCAATTCCCGCAACTTGTCCTCCACAGATGTCACTCCTACCTTGTCCCTAATAACTTAATTCTTAATCCTGTCTTTTCTAGTAAGCCCACACATCCATCTCAACATCCTCATTTCAGCTACTTTCATCTTTTGGACACGGGACTTCTTGATGGGCCAACACTCAGCTCCATACAATATAGTCGGTCTAACCACCATTTTATAGAACTTGCCCTTAAGTCCAGGGGGCACATTTTTATTACACAAAACCCGAGGCGAGCCTCCATCTCATCCACCCTACTCCAATATGATGAGTAACATCATCGTCAATCATCCCGTTACGTTGAATAATAGACCCAAGATACTTGAAACTATCTCTTTTAGGGATGACCCAAGTACCAATCCTCACTTCTACTTCTTCTTCATGCATCCTATCACTGAACTTGCACTCCAAGTACTCAGTTTTTGACCTACTCAACTTGAAACCTTTAGACTCTAGCGTTTGTCTCCAAACTTTCAACTCAGCATTAATTCCACCTCGCGTCTCGTCTATCAGGACTATGTCATCCGCAAATAGCATACACTGTGGCACCTCCCCTTGTATGTGTCGCGTCAACACATCTAACGCTAAGGCAAATAAAAACGGGCTAAGAGCCGATCCTTGATGTAACCCCATCTCCAATGGGAAATGATCCGAGTGTCCTCCCTCATTCCTCACCCGAGCCTTTGCTCCCTCGTACATGTCCTTAATCGCCCTAATGTACGCCACCGGAACACCGCTAGCCTCCATACATCTCCATAGGGCATGGAAAAATTCTTATGAAATCAAAAGTTCCAGCAACCTCCATGTTTAAGTTTCTTTTATTTTATTTGAAAACTAGAAATCTAAAAAGGAAGAGGAAGGAAGAATATCTACCAAGATGGAGGAAAATCGTTTACTTTTCATTGCTTGATTTGGGTATAACAAGAAAAAGAAATGAAATGTTTAGAAACTACAGTAATACTTAAAAGATTGGATTAAAAAACTTCAATAAAAGTACATCAATTTAGAGTTTTTTTATAATGCAGGACAAAACAACAAAATAAATGGGTTTAGGACAAGTTTGTTATGTTCCGCTGCAGTATGAAGTCAATTCATGACTTCAACCCGCAATGCTTCATATCCGCCTGAATTTTAAATAACAATATTTTAACTCGCACCGCACCCGCAAAACTCAAACCCGCACCGCACCCGCGTACATTTGCGCCGCCCCGCCGCACATCCGCCCCCATATTGCCATCCCTAAGCACAGTAGAAAAAGCCCACAGATATTTTGATTTGACCCACCACCAAAGTAGAAGACGACGCTGGAGCCCAATCGCACTAATTCTTCACCCCTGGTTCGTTCTTTATTTATCTCAATGCCACTCAACCTCTCAGGTGCAATGCGTGTCACTCAGAAACCGAATCATGTTCTGTAATGAATCTCTACATTTGCTACTCAGCAAAATAACAGAATAGAAATAAGAAAAGGAAAGAATAAAAGCATAACTTGCATGACAATGATGACATTGTCCTCATTCTTCAGCTTGCCGTTTTCTTAATTTCTCTCTCCAAAACCTATACATACATATAGATATCTATATTCCTTTCTCTCTCTATGAAGTATACATATAGCTACAGAAAGGGTGAATCATGCCATAGGCTTTTACCGTACTTGGAGCTAGCTAGAGAGAGAAAGTTTTTCATTATTGAGAGAGAAAGATAGTGTCAGGGAATGAGATCATCAACGGCGGCGCAGAGCAGCAGCAGTTATGATTTGTCTTTTAAGATCTTATTGATCGGTGATTCAGGAGTTGGCAAGAGCAGCTTGCTCCTCAGTTTCATTTCTAATGCTATTGACGATATTACCCCTACCATTGGTATTCTTCTTCATCAATTTGTGAAACATTACACAATTACTATTACTACTACGTCTCAATCCAAGCTAGTTAGGGTTGCCTGAATGAATCTTTTCAAATGAGCATCGCTCGCTCAGATTAAACTTGTCTCAATCTAATGTTCAATGATTTAAGTTTCCAAACACTGTATCTGTAGTATTTGACATGTTGTGATAGGTGAGTTACCATATGTTTTGCCGTATCAATTTATTATATCTATATAAACATATAGTTTCAATTAGGTGTCTAAACTTGTGAAAATTTTATTTTGTCTAACTTCATGATTTGAGCTTCGCTTAGATTTGGATTATACGATCTTCAATTATCAACTGTGCATTAAATCTCGGCGTTTGAATTAAGAGGGAATTGAGTTTGTGTGCACTATCATTAATCTTCAGATTAATCTAAATTTAGTAAATACTGCGTTTCTTTTGGGGAATCAGAGGCATCAAAGTTTGACTTTTGTGCTTAAAAAGTTACTAGTTCTTATATAGAAACTAATTCCTCTCCATCCTGTGCTTGGATTTTGCTGGATTTTTAGCTGTTATTTTTAAGCATCTAAATTGAACTTCGGAAAAAAAAGAAGAAGAATGCTTGTGATTAATTTCATTATAGGTTTTGGTAATTTGTTTGAGTGATTTATAGTGGTTTTACATATACTGGTTCTTTCTTGTAGTTACCGTTGGACTGATAATTTGAGCCCAAACCCATCCAACTCGCCCAACCCATCCAGAGATTAATGGGTTGAACTACAAACATTTTAGGGGAGAAATTCAAAAATAGCTAGATTTACAATTGGTCGTTCAAAAATAGCCCAGTTTCAAAAGTAATCGAAATTTAGTCACTTTTCATGTAAAGATAAATCTGAGCAAAAACAGTGTTCAAAACCCGAAAAATACGCCAGTATATTATGCTGGAGTTACAGCATAAGTATACTTGAACTCCAGCATATTATACTGGAGTTCCAAGATAAGTATGCTGGAACTCTGGGGACACTAGAACTCCAACACAATATACTGGAGTTCCAGCAAGTATACCGGTCCAGCATAATATACTAGAGTTTGGAGCACCGATGCTCTAGTCTCCAGTATATTATACTGGAGCCAACAAAGTATACCGGTCCAACATAATATGATGGAGTTCATACACAGGTGCACCGAACTCCAGTATATTATGCTGGACCAGTCTCTGTTGCAGCAAAATAGTGGCTATTTTTTATTGACTTGGTAAACGCTGACTATTTTTGAATGACCAGTCCGAAAACTGGTTATACCGTGCTATATTTACACATTTTAGCTCATGGGTCTATTTGAGTTTAGCCCAAGTTAACTCATTATTTTTTAGAACTCATTCCGACCAATTGAGCAGCCTAAATACAACTCATGAAACTCACCCAAAATAAAGGGATCTCAACCCAACTTATCTAGAAATTTACTTAGTTGCTCCATTTTTTTTTGTATTTTTAATTTTCTGCACCACCCACCTACCCCTACCCACTCACCTCCAACCTCCCTCAAAAAAAATT